GAATTACGACAAAAAAACTTGAAAGTAACCAAAATCAAAATTCAGGTTGAAAGCTATGAAAAAGGGTCAAACTTATTCAATAACCATTTACAAGACATTTTCCTACAATCTAACAGAAAGCCCTTCATACGTAACCCTAGTCAATTCGCATCGAGCTGATCTCCCGTGAACATAGCCGGTCTCTTTGTAAGCCGCTCTCTCCGGAAAATCGTCCTTGTGTGATTTGTGGCCCAACTATTATCGTCAAGGAGTCCCAGTTTTCTTCGATCCTTTTTATGTCAAATAATGACAAACTAGCATACAATGGCGGACAGGTATTTTGTCGGATCGCTGCGGGTCCCTTGTGTCCTCGTCGTGCAAATAATTGAGGGTAAATGCTGTGCTCGCATCGAGATTTACTTTGTTATAATCGTCGCCTCGTGTTCTTCTACCATCGGTGACTACTACGTCGTTAGTTCTCATACACAACTAACTGTTTGTGTTGGTAAAATATTCTAACAATACATTTCTTCTCTTATTGTTGTTTTCTCACTTGTTGACACTACACAATTGTCCAATTATAACTAAGAAAAATATTGTATAATAAAATAATCACTTTATATTATTCTTTGAACAAAAACTCTAAGAATTCTCACAAAAGTTTTTCTTCACGAACTCAAAATATACATCCTTCCAAGTCTTTAACTTTCAGGATTTTACAACAAAAGCCTTCTTGAATTTTTACTTAACAGTGAAAATAAATGAATGGATATCAATTTTCAACGTTAGGTTTTTTTGCCCTTAAATTAAATTAAGTTGGAATGTAAAAATAGAATTTAATTTCTTGTCCGAAATTCTTCTGAGGGTCTGTCATTAAGATTAGAAAGGGAAAAAAGAGTCCGATCAATTAGAACACTGGAAAATAGTAATAATTTATTTTTAAATTCAAACTAAGAAGAACATGTCGCGTCGTGGCTCGTATATTAACGCAACCGCTTAACTAGCATGAGCGCGTGTTTTCAAACCCTGTCAAGTACCTACCATTTTTTGAATTATGTGTATTTCCAAAGTTTATTTAATTAATGCTAAACTAAACCTGGACCTGAAAGTGTTAGTTAATGCTCAAAACGTGTGAGAAGAAGCCTTTGCTCAGCAGTGGGCACTTATAGGCTGATGATGATTTCAAAATAAGTAGAATTAAGCTTTTGCCATTAGAGCCATAACAAGCAACTTTTAAATATGCCATTTCATCATTATCCTCATCAGTCGGAGGAAGTTCACTGCTAAATAAAGGCCTCCCTCTTAGTCCTCCACATCGAACGACAATTTGCCACCTACATCCATTGGCTTCCCGCGACCATATCATCGGTCCACTTAGCGGGAGGCATGCCCACGCTTCTTTTTCCAAATATGCCATTTCAGTGAGGAATAAATATTAAAATAATATTATTTGTCTCTAAGAATACAATATGAACTCACTGAGTTATATACACAGTAAATTTTAGTTGCTTTCTACCCTCAAACACACGCCTAAACGTATATTATGAGGGTCTTCGTAGTGTCTAGTGTCTAATGGTCATAACAGTCATCACAAATGTTATAAGGGAGATTATGATAAATGTTTATCATACTTTTCTATCGTAGTTTAACTACAGACAGCGAATGCTTTGAACTTATGTCTCAAATAGTGTATTTTTGTGCAATAGGTCAGCAAACAAACACTAAACAACTGTTTATAAGAAATCAGTGCCGCTCATTGATAACATCGAGGAGTTGCAATTACATTGTCGGCCTTTTAGAGATTTGGTGATTTGGGGCTTGAGGCTCTTAAGGATTGATTCACCAGCAACCTCACCCCCGGAGCTAAACACAGCGCAAGCGCTTTTCCTCGCCGGTTTTCTGTGAGGCCTCGGTAAAACTCCGGTCAAACGTAGTCTTACCAAAGCAGGCTCTCCACCCAGGTTTTTATATTTCAAAGAAACACCAAACATTAATTTTAATTGAATATATTAACTAATATAACATAATGCACTTTCATTTTACTTTTAAACACACTTTTATTTTCAACTGTTCACAAACATTACAAATAATAATAATACGTTATTAATTTAATTTACTTTATGTAAAAGAAAATATTTATACGATACCGTACAAACAATCTTTATAGGATTCCATATTAAAGTTATTATAAATAATGAGATATTTTTGCGATATGTACGTGCACCAAGCGGCTTTCCTCTCTTCACGACCGACAGTAATTATTGTATGATAAACATAAAATGTGCATTCCATATAAATACTGTAAAGTACATTGCAATTAATAAATGTTCAGGAATCTATTCGGAGATTATTATTCGCGTCCAAAGTATTGAATGGATCCTTGAACGGGCATTAAAGGAGGCTTACGGTGAGCAAAGCCTGGCGCCAGCAGATAACGTAAACTTTGATAATGTCCGCGATAACTTCAAGTTAACTTAATGTGATGGAACTCGAATAACTTCATTTAATAGAAATGGTATCAAACGAATGGCACATTACTTTAACAACATAAAATATTCAGCGAAACGATTATGTTCAAACTGTAAATCGATAACACTAATAGTCGCGTCACAAGTGACTCCTCGCAGTGACAGAATCAATATTTTGTTTACGGTCAGCTGCGCGCGGACCAGGACACATCAAAGCTACGAATTTCATTCAGTGAACCTTTGTGACGGTCACCGACGAGCCACATGGCAGTCGCCAGTCCACATCTTTGCTTGTATTCGGTGGACGGAAAGTTTTCCCATTAATAAACAAGTGGCGCAGTTTGATGTTGTGACGCTTGATGGGATTCTGCATCATTAAAACCCTCATAACTTTCAAACTGCCGGCTGCGTTACTCGAGCAACTTCCCCATAACTTATTTAATAGAATTCTACATGGAATTGATCAACATCGGTGGCATTCGGAGCAGCGGAGATTCCCAAACGGTTCAGTGACGCGGGAAAACGCCTTTCACTGCCTGTGACGTCACAGCAGCGCTCCTAACGCAACGCCACCTAACATCTTTATAGCCGCTTCGTCTCACTTCCACGTTTACGATTTAATACTAAAATGATATTCTGGAAGTTTAAGTATAACGAATTTTGTCGATGTAATCAGTTGAGCTTTATTGTCCTCAGTTCGGCAGTATCCCGCAGTTTTGGACGCGGCGGGCTGGCTCTAGGGCCCCGGGGCGATGCCAGTCCGGCCCGTATCTGAAGGTCCCCAACTTTTTACGATTAGGTAAATTTTATCGAGTTTATTCATAGAACAGGCCCTGCGCGCCCCACTAGGAAACACTTTTCAATTTCAACAAGGATCGCCCTTTCTATCGGCGCGGTGAGGAAACTTTGGAGATAAAACAATTTTTGGCCGGTTGAGCATCAATTCCGCGTTTTATTGACCATTTTAGAGCTGTGCTCGGCAAAATTTGAACATGAAACCCTTATCGCTGGAGTGTTTTGTCGTTACGACAAATAAAACCGATGAATATGAAAAGGCTGAATAATATTTTCGTGCGTTATTTTTTTGGATATTCATGTATTATGTGATGAAACGAAGGACACCGTCAGTGCGAACTGTCGCCCGCGATATATCACTATGAATAATTCTTATTCTACATACGATATGAGCGTGCCAGTACAAGTAGGCAGTGGAATAGATTCACTGCGATAATGTAATGCCGACATATTGCCGGTTTATGAATTTATTTAGAAACACAAATTTTTCCCGAGCGAGTTGTTTCTTTGTGCCACAAAAGGAAACCCGATATGAACTCATAAGGAAAGAGATCCGAATTTATTGTCAAGCGAAAGGAAAATCAATCAATAAAAAGCCAAAAATGACGGCCAGACAAAGGAACCCCTTGGGTTGGCTTTGGGGAAAATACTGGAAAACAAAGGCTTCTCTTGACATATGTTTATAGGTTGATTACCCATGAGAAGGCAGGGCCCTTTCGACTTTCGAGTTTATCACATTATAATTTCAGAGATATCTATACACAGTCTATATATAGTTCTGACATTATTATTCCTATACTCATTATTATTAATTTAATTAGCATATTGGAGAGACGTATGTCTAGCAGTAGACGGAAACAGTGGATAATGATAATGAATTATCCTAAAAACATAATGCACTTTTCTATTACGTGTAACTCCTGCAGTTGTCTCTAAGCTAAAGTCCTCAATCTGGGCAATTACAACAACTTTTTCCATATCTTTTATAAAAAACTAGCGGCCCGCCCCTGCTTCGCACGTGTCTGCCACTATCTCTCTTACGACCAAAGTGTTCCTATTTCCCAGATCTCCCCTCTACTTTTCTAAAATTTTCTTTCATAGGAACCTTCTACTAACCATAACAAACACATCAAAAAAAGAATTGGCAAAGCTGGTCCAGGCGTTGTTGAGTTATGCGCTTACCAAGACATTTTGCGATTCATTTTTTAATAAAAAAAATATTACCCATCCAAATCGAACCGGCTTGTAGGGGAAAATATTTTTTATAAAAGCATGCATGAATGGAGAAGTAAATTTTTATTTTCAAAAAATTTGTTTTTTTTGAGCACCAGAATCGGGTCCTTGAATATGTTTCTCCTTTAACCTAACACACTGTATGTATTGAAGAACTTCATGAGAGTACGGCGCGTAAGTTGCCGCTTGCGCCTCTGAGAGCCAATAGGCCACCACGCACGGGGCCCTATAGAGCTGATGTCAGCCGGGGTTGCGGGGTAAGCGCTATGGGGCACCGCGACCTCGGCCCAGAGCAGGAAAAGGAACGGGGGGGATTTTATTCATCAAGAGCCTGACACTCCCTCCCGCCCGACCCTGGGCGCGAGAAGTCATTTGAAGATTTTCCCCAAAAAAAATTAACACTAAAATTTTGATGATATAGTTCCTACAATCATAATTGTTAATTCAATGAAGCTATTAAACATTTAGTAGTTTTCTGCTACGTAACTCCTTCCAAAGTTTTTAGTTTTTTACGGGCTTATGACATTATGTAGTGAAGAACTCACCTGGCGGTACTAGATGCGCCAGCAGCAGCAGGGCAAGGTGCGCGGCGTCGCGTGCGCGCATGTCGCTAGCGGGGCGAGCCCCGCGCTCCCCCCCTGCGCATGCCACTCCCCGGCGCGCGCGCACACCGCGCAATACACCCCTGTTCACACACGCACTCACACACGCGCACTACGCACACATCTATGTCCGCACTTCTGGGGAGCTACTGGCCACCTGTAAGCAAAATTTAAAATCAGTTTTTGTTGGTAAATAATACAATTTTCAACAAATGTAATAAGCAATCATATTTAACAAATGTGCATGTGTGAGATATGCCATCCATGTTCATTTAAATTGGCCGTATGTTTCATATTATGTACCTACATATCGAGACGAAACCACATTATCATAGTTGATTTAGGACTATTTGTGAATAGTAACTAAAAAACAATATCATTTATTCCAATTAGATCCTTACTGGCACTTTTGAACGTCAAACAAAATTTTAAAGATATAGTGTCAGTCTGTCGGTCAGTCCTCTTAGTGAAGCTATTTGATCGTTCCAAAGTGTAGATTCCTCTGTAGGTTACTCTTTTTAAATCAGTTTCACATACAGATTCCTTTTACAAACAGTTGGTTCAATTATGTGAAAACAGTGTATCACTAATATTTATTCAAATATAAAAAGAAAGTAACTTTAAGGACAATAGACAGTCTGGAGCTGACCAGTTCCAACTGACGTGAAACATACTTAATTTATTAAAAATAACGACTTACTCGCGTGAATTATCTGAGACAAGCTCTACTAGTTTCAAGTCATCACGGGGCTCTTATTCACGAGAGGCGTGTGCTTCGCAGCAACGCGCACTTATCAGTAAATTAACGCGATTTAGGGCAAAAAACTGACAAATATATTATAAGCAACACTTCATTGCTTAAAGATGTTATAAAAGCGTGTTAAATAATGGAGTACTTATTGTAAGATTGGGAGAGTTTGAAGAACATCTCAAGGTGAACTTGTGAGCAGTAAGCCGCCACTTGACTGCGCAGATCCCACAACCTTCGACGTTAATACTTCAATAAGCAGTCCAATAATTCAATCCGATTATCGTTTAATATTATAATCCCATAGTCGTCCCTTACACCATCTTCAGACACATTATAGACAGCCCATTAAATATCAAAGATGTGGCAATTTGTATACTATGGGTAGGTAGGTAAGTGACTTGTACCTATAGTTTGTTTTTATGTGGCAGGTCGGCAAACGAGCAAAGGGATGACCTGATGGTAAGCAATCAGCGCCGCCCAAGGACACCCGCAACAACAGAGGAGTTACGAGTGCGTTGCCGACCTTTTGGAGATTAGGGATCTTGAGATTTAGGGATTGGAGAGGGATTGGGGAGGAGAAGGCCTCCGGTAACCTCACTCACACGGCAAAACATAACGCTGTGGTTGTTTCATGCCGGTTTTCTGTGAGGCCGTGGTTTAACTCCGGTCAAGCTGACCCATTCGTGCCGAAGCATGACTCTCCCACACTTATAGTGTCAAATCCTTGACTTTGTATAACAAGGGAACTTTACTGTCCACCTACTCGACCGTCGGATGACCTTGTATGTTGCCTATCCAAAGTACGGATTGTATTTTGTGGAAATTATAATTAAAACTTTATGGAACAATAATACGAAGTGATTACGTATGCGGGGCGCGCCGCCACCAATCAACGGGGATTGTTGTTGCGCTGTTTTATATCACAATTACAGGATTCAGAGAAGGGATTAAAACGGACGTATGTACATATATTGCCAAGATATATTTGGTACAACTAACACAGGTATGTATTCTAAAGATTCTGCCTACAAGACTTTTATAAGTTCATTTAGATACCACTGGCAAACGGTGAAGGAAAACGTCGTGAGAAAACCTGGACTTATAATTTTTTATTATGCACGGTTGGTGCGGTGGCTGGGCAACGGGCTGTCGTGCAACGCGTCGCGGGTTCGATTCCCGCACGGAACTACACTTTGAGTGATCTACAAATTGTTGTTCCAGGTCTGGGTGTCATGTGTATGTGAAATTGTATGTTTTTAACCGCACCCACGACACAGGAGAAAATCCTAATCAAATCCAACGTTTTTTAAAAGAAAAAAAACTAAGTATTTTGATATCGCCAATCCACCTTGAGCATGCGTGGCTGTGGTGTTCAATGCTCAAACCTCCGCCGTGTTAAAAAGGCGTTTGCTCAGCACTTTTGCTCAGCAGTGGGCACGTATAGGCTTGATGATGTGAAATATCTGCCTGCAAAATATAGGTATACCTTTATGTGTAACATTGTACCTAAGGGAAAGTTAATAAACAAAAGAGTCTCGTAAAACACAAAGTTTAAGTAAAGTTGGGGAGCAGAGCCAGAGCACCTTCAGCGCGGCGTCGATACAAAGTGTGTGTGTGTGTGATCATAAAAGTGTTAGATGTGCAAGTTCGCCGATAAACTGCCACTAATGGTATAAACACTCGTTTTAGTGCTGATAAAAGTGAGTGCTACCAACATAACTACGTGCCAGCTATATATATTGACGCGGGGAGCGAGCTCAGGAGAAACTTTGTGAGATATCGGCAATAGGTAAACCACGCGACTTGAAAGAGTCAGTATACATATGTATTACACTAAATAACCTAAGTATTGAACGGACGTAATATATAGTTAAATCTTGTGAAAAATCCACTTCAATATAAACAAAGTGGCAACAGCAACGTTGCACATTTTCACGTCTCACGTTTCGCCCACACCTCCGAGCCTGCCGAACTAGTGTCACAGCACAGTCAACAGTAGAAGACCAACTAAATCTACAGTGAAGTGAAACAAAGGCAAGTGCAAACTGCGACCACACTAGTTGGTAACAGTTCCGTTTCAGTTTTCATACCGCGCAACAATTCCGATTGGCTTTGGCAGCGAGCGCGAATTAATTTAAACAAGGCACGGATACAGGCCGGCTCGCTTACCTCAAACCTGTGGGAACTGGTTTCAATGGCTCTCGTCACTACTATATGATGCTTTTGTTACAAAGCAATCAGCGGAGTTTAGCCGAGCCATACTTTCTGTATGAAAATGGTCGAACAGAATTGATAGGTATTGGTGTTCTTTCGTGGTGTTCGAGCCAAAAATGAGTTGAGTTGAAAGTGAACTTGTTCGACGTGGACATCCAATCAATCGCAATAAGGCACGGCTTTGGCCTAGAGCAGGCGAAGAAACGGGGAGGGTTTTAGTTGGTAAGTGACTGATGCCTCGCCTCCGTCGGGAAAAGTTATTTGATGACTCTCCTCTTACAATAAATGCCTTGATGGCTTTTATTTAACAATATTTAGCCTTTTTAACTCAGGTCGTCTTTTGAACCTTCTGTATTCAAGCTCGTTGGTGAGCCAGGGATTGCTATAAGGAAGCCATGTGTATAAATTGCAGCCTCCCAATGATGATAGGTTGCCGAGTTCTTGCCTACCGACTACGTAATAAGCTTTTTCCTTTACTCAAGTTTTTCGGCTTCTAAGAAAAAGGTAAGCAGTTTATAGACAAAATCAGTTTCGTAGGTAAATCGTGTGTAGGTTTATTGGCGGCGCTCTTAACATTAGTGAGATTATTTTCTTATTCTCTCAGTAATGGAAATGTTTACTGTTTTACTAAAGTATCTTGAATACTGATAAAAATACTAGATTTAATTTGTACTTTATGTACGATTTCCCTTTGACTATGAAACCTAGGACAATGCCCACCACACAACACATTGCCATACGTTTCACTTTACTCTGTTCCATCATCCGGTCGACATTCAAATCTCCGCTAAAAGTGTTCCTAGCTCCTAAAAGCTGGGTACAATTTTTATGTTGGCAGTACCGTAGGGTTATGTCCGCGTTGACTGGTGGCCGATGGCGGATGACGTCACACGTCGAAATAACCATAACATTTATCTGCACAGGTAAAAAGTGACTTTTACCTATCGGAACGGTAAGGAGACATCATTTACGATAATCCACTGTCTGACAACAACAAACAAAATTTCATTACTGTTAGTTTAAAAAAAGTTTAACGTATAATAAAAAGGTATTCCTGGCGATACTCGATCTCTCTAGTGTTAAAAACATGGGCATAGTCTAGAAGAATTATATGAAAGAGCCAACTGCCCAACCAGACTTCCAGCTAATCTTTTAAGATAATTCATTTGAGCCTACGCTACCCAAGAGATTATTCCAAAACGTCTTTACTTTTTCTTCGCGATAAAAAGGCAACATATTCGTGTCGAAGAAAAGAGGCTATCTCCTAATATCGGGCACAATGCCAAGGTCAGCAGACGACGCTCATATTCAGCAAAAAGACTGATAACATCAGTGACAACAAGTTCTTACGCAACATGTAACTGATTCAAACAAATAAGAAATACCATGTCCGTCCACAAATACAAGTCGAAAAAAGTATTAATATCGCGAGGCAGCGCCTACACCAGTTTATCCCAAAACAAAAACAACAAAAAATGAGATTACTACGAAACTATAAAAGATGCAGGAAACTTCGTCAAGTGAGCTCCCAAACTATGACCCAATAAAGTTCGTGAGAAAAACTCCTCGACTACGGCACACAGTAATATAGCTAAATATAGCTGTAACGAACATGTCCTGAGTATGAAGGAAGTTTTAGTTTCCAACAGAGCCGGTATTAGTGGGATCAATGGGTGTGTGGAACTGCTCAGATTAAACCCGCCCGATTTGTAAAGATTGCTCTGTTTGGGTTCGGACAAATTAACTTCTTCAAAGGACTACCTCCGACGTTTTTGTAGATGGATAAATATATCGATATTTTCGATTATTTTTGTATGTAGACCACACGACGCGACCTCTTTTTATCGTCTTCAATAAACGAAATACGCGAACTAGATGCGAAGACAATCCCCATATTTATGTGAATACGCGAGCAGCCATAACCGCGCGGCATAAATTTAAAATATTCCAATAGGTAGTATGTTTCAAATAAAACGCACACTTTTGTCACAGTGCGCCGTGCTGCAGCGGAACACATTCGGTTCGTCCCTGACATGATGTACGGCGCTTATTGCACTGTGTGCTCACCTATTTTTTTCTTATTACTCGTCTAGTTTTAAAGAACATAGAGTCGCCCGCACAGTAAGTCAATAACATAGTCTAGAAAAAATAAAAAAAACCTCCGCATTTCACCAAGACACAGCCTTAATTAATGACATTTGTTAAATATCAAACCCCAAACATATAATTTCTACGAAATGTGTATTTGCGTCAAACTTTATGAAAAATGTCGACAAAAAGCGAACGTTAATGACTTCACTACTTAATTACAAACTAAAATGTTCGGCGACATTTCAACTAAATTTTTTTTTTCACTTTACTTTATAGATGAAGAAATAATTCTAAGATCTCACTATTAATTTACTTAATTAGCATTCATGAAGAAGGTGACATGCTGATTATAGAGAGCTTTTATCCAAATTTATTTCTAGTAAATGTTTAGCAGATGATTTAAATAAATACTCTTATTTAACAAATATTCCAAGCGAATGTTAACACAAAGGATTCCTTAAGATTTAGACAAAAATATTCCTTTCATTTGTGTTTAAATATACGTGTTAATGAGTAACATAAAAGTCGTGGCATATAAATTTTCTTTGTATGTTCTTTTCATATTCTGTCATTAACTGACTTTTACAGCTGACAGTGCTGCAGGGGTTGGATTACACTTCAGTTCCGGATCTCGTTACATACTGACAGTAACTGTTACACTTCATGCACGACGCCTGCGTACTAGGCCTTGCAAGACATATCTGAGCAACAGGGTAGAGTTGAGTCACTGCGTTCTCTATACTGTGTCCGTCAGCGCACACAGCACTTCCATTTGGCCATCCCTTTCATCCCAAACGACGCTTTGATTAAACAATTTCGTTGTGCACCAAAATAAAGTTTTTAATCTTTCGATGTGGCGGATGTGACGTCAGAGAATTGAGGCCAAACAAAGACTCGGAGAGTCGGATGCTGTGGTTCGTTTTTGTTTTTAATTTCGGTGCACTTCGTGTTGTATTGGTGTGGTGGGTGGTATACCTGATTGCATGTACCCCCGTGTGAGTCGTATATATTTCACTATGTTAAGAGAATAGAAATAATTATCATTTGGAAAAAAACGGTGTTTGTCTGTAAAGTAGATTTACGAACGGTAGTTTTAAGAAGCATTAGAGCCGATCATGCCTCTCTCTCGTTTGTGCCGCGCTCTCGCTTGCGCAACGCGACAATGACGTAGGTATTTTTTTTCGAGCATGAAGCCCGTAGTCTGAAGTTATTAAATTAATATCCATTATACTTTTGAGAATAACCGAAGCATTCAAAAATAGTCGTTAGACTAAAGTCACAAGGTGTTTTGATCACAAACTCATTTGGCTAACTGCTACACTGCACTGAACTTCCACGTTTCTAAACATGGATGCATTGATTGGATTTGTTTAACTAACAAAACACTCCCGAGGTGAAGGCAATTAATGCAACAGTCCGGACAAAGTTTCCGTGTTACTTCCACACTGAACTAATAAATGTAACGTTCTTACTTCGAACTTTTGACAAGACCCCAACCATTCTTATTAAGCAGATAACAATTTTTCAAAAAACTTCCCGAACACCATCCTATTAACAATTTCCTAACCATGATTTATCTTACAGGCAAAGTCGTTACTGATAAAAATAGCTCGGCTACCTAAAATTTTCTATCGGTTATATAAGCATATACCTTTGCCTTGAAAAAAATTAGTATGTACCTAATTATATAATAACTTAACCTTGCTGATAAATTACATCCTATGCGTAATGTAATGTCATTGTTGCTAATTCGAAGGAAATAAAAACTGCTGCCTTTGTTGTGACGGCGGCGGCAGTCGATGAACTATCCACTGCATTTGTGCTGATTGTTTCTTGCTATTGTTTTCACTCTTCTGTCTAAGGTCTTCAGTATTCCGTAGAGAAGAAGGATGCCAATTGTGATGAGGATTTGTCCAATTGCAATGTTTCTCGTCCACCGTAGCTCTTCCAGGACAAGACTTTTGAGATGGTCGGCTTCATTTTGATTAAGGCAACTGTCGGAGTTATATACGATTTGATCTTTGGAGCTTTGGTTGCCCATTGTTCTCTCGTAGATACTGACGGTATATGATGGTATTTTCAAAATACGGTGAGTATTTAAATGGACTGATTACTTGTGTCAGCAAGTGACGAATCGTACTGTCGGCTTAACCGCCCGTCCTGACTTCGTGATGTACGTGTTCCGCCCGTTGTGATTATTTTCTGAATTTGGCACGTTCGTTCCACTATTGAAGACAAATGCAGGTTTTAATCGGTCTATAGATATTGCTTTTTCATTGTCCCCAATTTTAATGATAAACGTCTTATCTATCCTCTTTGTCACTAGAAATGGTCCTTCGTATGGTGGTGTTAAACTTTTCCTTATTCTGTCACAGCGCACGAATACATGTGAGCATTTGTTGAGCTCGGGGTGAATGAAAACTGTTTGTTTAATTTTCTTGCGTTTTGATGTTGATGTCATACGAGAAATGTCCTTTTGTATATTTGTGACAAATTCTTCGTATGTCGAAGGCTGTGACGATTCAAAAAATTCTCCGGGAAGCCTTATAGGTGCGCCATATATCATCTCTGCTGCACTATATCCTGTGTCCTCGCGTACACAACTTCGTAATCCAAGTAGAACTGAAGCAATTTCGTTCATCCAATTAGCATTAGATTCTCTTGATATTAGCGCCGCTTTTAAAGTTCTATGAAATCTCTCTATCATTCCATTTGATTGTGGGTGATAAGGCGTTGTTCTAATTTTGTGTACTCCTAAAAATTGTGAAAGTGATTCAAATATTCTTGATTCAAATTGTCGACCTTGATCCGTAGTAATGCGTAATGGGCATCCGAATCTTGCTATCCATCCCTCATACAGTATGCGCGCTACTGTTTCGGCTGTGATATCTTTAACGGGAAATACTTCCGGCCAAGAAGTACAACGATCTATCATTGTAATTAAATATCGCTTTCCTTGAGAAACAGGTAACGGTCCAACAATATCGATGTGTAGATGTTCAAAACGTTGAGATGGCATAAAGTTCCCGACAGGTGATATAGTGTGGCGTTGCACTTTTGATTTTTGACAAGCTAGGCACGATTTACACCATTCATTTATATCTTTATTCATACTTGTCCATAAATATCTTTGAGTTATCATTTTCCTAGTAGCTCTCTTCCCAGGATGACTCAGTCCATGCATGACATTAAAAATTTGTCTCCGAAATTTTTCTGGTAAATAGGGGCGATTTTTTCCTGTAGATATGTCACAGGCGATGACTTCAGTAGAACCCGGAACCTTGATATTTGAAAATTTTAAATTCTTGTTATTACGAAGTCGTAATAATTCTTGGTCATCATGCTGACATCTTGCTAAATCAGCATAATTAATCGGTGATGGCACATCAATTTGTTCTATCCGTGACAATGCGTCTGCTACAATATTGTCACGTCCTTCTATATGTTGAATGTTGGTACAATATTGTGAAATAAAATCCAGTTGTCGTATTCGCCGTGGCGTATCATTAGATGACGGTTTTTGGGAAAATGCGTAAGTCAAAGGTCGATGATCTGTAAAGATAGTAAATTCTCTTCCTTCGACTAACCTTTGAAAATGTTTGACTGCCATAATATATATTCCGAGCAACTCTCTGTCGAATGTCGAGTATTTTTGTTGAGTATCACTTAATTTCTTTGAAAAGAATCCTAATGGTTCCCAATTACGTCCTGACTTCTGCTGCAGAACTGCGCCAACACAGGTCGAACTGGCGTCCGTCATAAGTGCCAAAGGGGCGGTGCGAGAGGGGTGAACTGTTAATACTGCGTTCATTATATTTTCCTTGCATTTATCAAAAGCTTTTTCGGCCTCTGTTGTCCAAGAAATTGGAGAATTATCATTCTTTTTAGAGTCGTGCAGGTAGTTGTTTAAGATAGTTTGATATTCAGCGGCATGAGGGAGATTGTTTCTGTAAAAGTTGATCATTCCTAAAAATCTTCTTAGCTCCTTGATTGTCGTAGGTTTAGGAAATTCCATAATTGCTTTGTACTTTTCCTCCGTTGGTCGTATTCCTCGACGTGTTGTATGATAACCCAGAAAATCTATTTCACTCTTAAGAAAGTCACATTTTTCGAGATTAATTGTTAATCCATTTTCATGTAAACGTTTGAAAACCGTATCCAAATGTTGATAATGTAGAGCCTCGTTTTCAGATGCTATAAGACAATCGTCGACGAATATGAATACGAAATCCAAATCCCTGAATAGCGAGTCCATGAATCGTTGGAATGTTTGCGCCGCATTACGTAAACCGAAAGGCATTTTTGGAAATTCGAAAAGTCCAAAAGGAGTGATAATAGCAGTTTTTTCCACATTTTCTACAGGAATGCAGTGGTACGCCTTTCGAATATCAATTTTGGAAAAGATTTGCTTCCCTTCTAGTATGTAAGTGAAATCAGTTAGTCGTGGAAGTGGATATTTGTCCGGTACAGTCACGCTATTGAGCATTCTATAATCTCCACATGGTCTCCATTCACCGTTCTTTTTCTTAACCATGTGCAAAGGACTAGCCCATGGGCTGTCCGAAGGGCGACAAATGCCAAGCTCCATCATAGTCTGAAATTCTTTCTTTGCTATATGATATTTATCAGGAGGTAATGGTCTTGCACGTGCTGATACCGGTGGTCCTTTAGTGATAATATGATGCTTAATCTTGTGTTTTGGAGTAGTGTGGAGGGAGGCTGGTTTCGTAATATCCTCGTATTCATTTAATAGTTGAGTAATGCGTGGATTCGTCTCAATGTTAATAGTGCGGATTGTTTGCTGCGTCGATTTGATCAGGGTTGCGGGCGTTGTCAGCTCAGTTACCCTATCTATGAGTTTTCGACCAGCTATATCGACTAATAGCTTATAATGCTCTAAAAATCTGCTCCAATAATCGGTTGTGTTACATCGGCGATGACAAAGTTCCATACAAAGTTTCTTCGTAGCCCGAAGTTTAAAGAGAGTGTTTTTTTCACCATATGTCTTAATTTTTGTACCATTGGCGGCATAAAGTATACATTGTTCATCTTGTATTAGTGAATGTCTCTGTGGCTTGCTAATAACTGAAATATTTGCTCCCGTGTCAATCAAAAATCTCATACCACTTTTTCGGTCGGTAATAGTGAGGCGGTTGGACGGGTGAATAGCACAGAGTTCCGCCGTTGTCCGTGCTTCAATTAGTTTCCCTGTTTCCTTGAGTTGAGATCCTGTTTCCAATCACAAGGTTGAACACACTTTTGTGCATATTTTTTAAATCTTCCATGGTAAAAACAAAGTGCCTTCTTTCTCTTGAACTTGACTGTGGTAGGAAATGCCGACGATTGGAATAACTTTGAGTGCTGCGTCGATAGTTTTTTTGACCTTGCTGAATTGCATTTAGTTCCAATTGCATTTCTGCTAACTGTGCTAGTATGCATGACATTGTATCGTCGCCAGATTTGTTTCCGTTTACAGCTGACACCTCTGTACGTGTTGAATTTATTAATATCTTGTCCGCGATCTGGCTCATCTTGTTCACATCTATGTCTTCTGTGACTGCTAGAACCGAAGTCACTGATGGTGGCAGAAGCCTCAACCATAGAAGTTTGATGGTTTCGTCGCTGATATTTCCGTTACTCAGGGTCCGCATCTTGCGCAGAAGATGTGATGGTTTCTGGTCGCCGAGATCCATTTCAGACAATAATTTTTGGAGCTGACGTTGGTCTGATTCCTCATAGCAACTGATTAGGCGTTCTTTGATAGCCTTGTACTTTTCTATTGGCGGTGGGCAAGTAATGAGGTCACTAACCTGTATTATTTCTTCTTTTGGCAGTTTTGCAATGACCGTATAGTACTTGTAATCGTCTCCTTGCTTCTGTGGTGCTACTATGGCTTCTAGTTGCTTAAACCATAATCTGGGTTGGTCCCTCCAAAATTCCGGAATACGGGATAAAATGGCGGTTCCGGCTGATATCTCCAAGGCTTCTTGTTGGCTGCTGCTTGATTTGCAGGGTGAATGAGTCATGTTGATTGTTCTTCGTCGGGTCACCAATTTGCCAGACTTCGTGGCAAGGTAAATAATGAGACTGTAGATGGTTAAGGTCTGTTTATTACTTTAATTGCTGGTGCTTATATACTAAGAAGATGCGTGAGATTTTCAGATTTAGCTATCCTAACAAACGTGCAACAATTAACATGTATGTCTTATCTCTATCGTATCTAAGTAATGTAGCGACGTGATAGTGCCGCTACATACCTAATGGATACAATTTCTTAGTAATGTACTACTAAGGACAATGTTACTCTTGCTACAATACTTAGAATTGTAGTATATTAACTAGGGATGCTTAGAAACAATAACATATATTTGTAGTATAGGAATGACGTAACACCCAAACAGTAATGTGTGTGTACACTTGATAACAATCAATATGTCTGCGGCCAAAACAAACAGCAACACGATATCTCAGGGTGTAAGTATCGCAAGATTCTTCGTAAACATTCAATACATTACAGTAATCAGACAACGTATTGGTACAGACAGCTCACAACAAGTCCAGAGTGCTGAGCCATGTACTCGAAACAACATTATCTAAAGTCAGAATAAAAACAAAAGTAAGTAAATATCGAGCCAAGTTTAATAACACATCGCATCGATACAACACACGCACTGCCGCGAAATATATTTGAGAAATCCTGCGGTTTATGAGCCCATTTTTTCTTGTACAACGTGTGCATACAACTTTGCTCTCACAAAGGTGGCTCTTATAGACCCATTACGATACCTATAAAGACCCCATCGCGGCACACAACTCACGGAGGCTGTTCCGCTTCCAAAACTTTGAGACTCTAATGGACATCAATGTTTTCGGATGAAGTGATACTGAGCGTAGAGCTGGAACAAGCGCGTTCTTTTATATAGATTAGAATACTATTCTTGCATAAAGCGATCTTTCAATCAATTTTCTTAATGACAATATCATTAAAAGGCAATCGGTTCAACGTTCAGGTTTTTCAAGAAATTGAATAAATTAAGCAGAATATCCAAATCCTTCCCAGAAAACGCAAGTAATTGACAAATCGTCGTAGAAATCGAGGAGTTAATCGAATCCCATTCGATTTGGCATGCTCTCGGAATCGATTCGTAATTTATAGTAGCAGCTCTGACCCGAGCCGTGTGATACCGCCGCGCCGGCCGAGACGACAATTTTTAAAAGTTTCGCCGCCCTTCCTTTGTGGCGTCCATCGCATTACAAAATCGCTTTACGCACACAACGGGCGATGAATCTTTGTCCAAGTTCGGGTCCACGACACAAAAACTTGCTCTTTTGTAACACTTAGAGATAATGATTGATCTTCGGTTGTCCGGGACTTTAATAATCGAGTTAAAAACGTGAAATTATTATAGCTACTACTGAGAGATAAGAATTATCCTCGCGATATTACCGGAGCCTCGATGCCTACGGAGATAAGGGTGCTTACGTCACAAAATAAAAGCCTCCAGACTAAAATTGGCGTCCGTAAAACCAAGGACACTGAGCTTTTAAAGCCGGGCTTCAACGTGAGCTGTAGAACATTTTTTCAGTTCTTGTATTTTTGCTTATAACAGTATCCGGTCAAGTATCAATAGAATTAATTTACCGCCGTGACTCCGTGATATCGTTTTATTGAAGAAAATACCTGCCGCCGCAGATTAATAAAGATTCGCAGAGTTAATACCTTGTAATTCTGGATTCTTTTAGGGCCGTGTCGTAAAACTAAATCTTTTATATCTGGCTACTGGATGTTGACACGGAAATACTTTTCTTTTACCTACAACGATGTTTGTTTTCGTCAGCGTTTTAAGCGAAGTAATGATGATAAGTGAAATAGGTTTTTTATGTGATGCGATGTTAACCAGCATACGGATTACCTGATGGCAAGCAATCATCGTCAGAACATGGACACACGCAACACCGTAGGAGTTACAAACGCGTTGGCCACCCCAAATCCCTCAAGCCTTTGCTTGGTGACTTGGGGATTTCGGTATTGGGAAGAGATGGGGGAGCGGAAGGATTGGTCCTTCGATAACCTCAGTCATATAGCGAAATACACCGCTTTGTTTGTTTCACACCGGTTTTTTATAAGGTCGTTTTATCGCTCCAGTCAAGTCTGCTCATTCGTGCCGAATCATGGCTCTATCAAACTTAAAAAGATTTTCATAAGTAACAACATAAATATAGTTATCTTATATCAAACAAATCCCAATAACATACGAGTACCAATAACTACTTATTCTATAAATACGGTGAGGTCTGTAGGGAGCATGTGGCAGTCGTTACCGTCAGTGTTTGAGGTCCATAAAAACACGTGTAACGTATTTTTTATTTTGTTTTATTGCCTAAAATAAATTACCTTATATGCCAGGTATTCCCCTCGCGCCATCTAATTTGAACCCCTCACCCGGAAAAGTCAATTTCCACTTATACCTCGATCATACTGGGGTTGGTAAGTAGGTACCTAGTGAAGTAGGTGCACGAAGACGCGCCAATAAAAACTCCCATTTATAATGTGACGTCACTCGTCGATATACGACTCAATCAATGACGGATCAAGGAGCCTAATTTACTTAGGTACATTACTTACATTCTAATTGGGCATTTTTCTTTAGACAAAATTAATTACTTCAAGTTTCCAATACAATTAAATGTTGAGAAATAATTGCTTTATCATTGCTTGATGTGACGATATCCGTAATTTTAGTATTTTATGGATAATATGTTAAGAAAAAAGGAATGCTGTTTCATATTAATATATGATGACGTCACAAGCGTACTTTCCATACTAAATACATATATAGAACAGATTCGTTTTTGACATTACGATAAAAGTATTGAATTTGTTTCGTTTTGCAATAACCGTATTGCACTATAGGTTTACTTCATAATAGCAATTTTTGCATATACGAATATCTATTCATCTACGCATCGAGCTTTGATGCGTGTCCTTTATTAGTTAGAGTGAATAAAGAGGAAGGTTTATACATATAATTGGTTTAAACTTACTATAACATCCATTTAATAGTAAAGATATTTAGTATCAGCATTACACCCTTGCAAAACCGGAGTCGCTAGTCTATATCTATACCTATACTTATGTATATTATAAATGCGAAAGTAACCCTGTCTGTCTGTCTTTTCTTCACGCCTAAACTACTGAACTGATTTCCGTGAAATTTGGTACAGACATAGTTTGCAACTCGAGAAAGTACATAGGATAGTTTTTAACCAAAAATCTGCAGAAAGTCACTATTCCACGCGAACTTAGTCGCGGGTTAAAGCTAGTTTTAAATATTTGATTATAGACTCTATATAAAGCATATTACCATTTAAAATATTATTCGCTTTTACATATGTAAATGTTGTTTTATGTGACATTTAATAAACGTACATACAAAATGTAACTAATAAATAACTGAAAATGAACTCTGCAACTATAATAATATTGAAACATCCTTTTATATCGACGTTGAATAGTTTTGACAATTTCATAGAATTATATTCATGACTTTTACATTTATAAATTTGATTATTGTATAGTTTCAGTGTACTAGAAAAACAAACGAATAACTAACGTCACCGCCTTTATTATTCCCATGGGTGTAATAAGCACTAAAGCCCTACACTATACAACGACAGAGATTGGCTAGCAGCACTTTCTAATAGACCTAAACCTCTTCTACTGCGCTTTTGAGAGGGGAAAATCGCTCAGGGGGAGGCGAGTTAGAACATCAGACTCTTACTGACTAAAAACCATCCTGTTGCTTCTCCAGCTCCGGTGTCAATGTACACTATTGCGCTTACACCCTGACTTCTTATCTTTAAATGTCTGCCTACTCACAGAACGAAACAACAACAAAACTCTGATGTAGTCCAAGGTCCAATAAAGCAATAGTCTGTCACCAATAGTCATTGTTTTACTTTAAAATTGCAATAAATGAAATAATAATAATAAGTTTTAAATAAATGCAATTTCATTGCTGTCAATCAATCTTCGAAACCCCTAGTACGCGGCAATACCAAGCAATACATCTTCACACAAAGAACCCCGTAAACATGGGGTCTCGAAGTACCCCGTTAAAGAATGTTAACTATCCGTAACCGCGGTTTATAAGCCACGCCATAAACGCGCAAGTTTACGTTTGCCAAAGGAAACACAAACCACAGAAATGCTTCCGTTACCGACGTAATGCTTTAAAATGTTTTACAGTTGCATGTGGTTAGTTATTAAGTTTTAGTTGCTAGCTGTAGCTGATCATAAATAAATATGAAATTAAATAACACATGTTACAAACTACATATTTTATTAGTGTAAACATAACAGTGTAAATGAATAAACACTGAAATAAAATAGCCAACGATCAAATATAGTAAGCTGTAAATTAAACGCATTGAATAATAAACTTTATAAATTTGCGGTTTAGGGAAGTGCATGGCCGACATCCTCATCGATACATGTTTTTTTTCTATCCATAGAAATTTAACATTCAGAATATTCTATAAAAAATCAACCTAGTTAATTCAAACATTAATTAAACTCACACAAGTAGGTAAATAATTCTGATTCTGATAAATATGTTCGGGTAAACTATTTTAAAATATGTGACATTCATGTGAACAGTCGAATACCTAAAAATCTGATACAGTGTAGGTCTAAAAAATGGCGAAACAGAGCTCCAAAATTTGTTGCTAATTTGCTAACTTTACATTGCCAATTTTTTAGACCTGTGTGAAGCTAGGGTTGACCTATGTTTTGTGGAGGACAGATAACAGTCAGAGCCCATTAAATACTAATACTCACATCCAGCCAAATTAGTTGAGGTTAATTAACATTTCATAAAATTATATTGCATTCACAACGATGTTATTATTCTATGCACAACGCGTGCAAACTCATTAAGAGATAGGCAAGTGATAACTGGTTTTACCACCATGAGAAAGTGTCGTCGCGGTATAATTTTAATAGAATCTTTTGAGAACACACCTA